GGGGCCACATATCAAAGATTGGTCAATAAGATGTTTGCTCGTTTAATTGGCCATACTATGGAAGTCTATGTAGACGACATGTTGGTGAAGTCGGAACAGGCCGCTGACCATATCGCTCATCTCTCCGAGGTCTTTGATATACTCCGAGAATACTCCATGGTACTTAACCCTAAAAAATGCACTTTCGGAATTGGGTCAGGAAAGTTTCTAGGGTACATGGTGAGCCAAAGAGGGATCGAAGCCAATCCTGCTAAGATTCAAGCCATACTCGACCTAGCTCCCCCGACATCTCTCAAAGCCGTCCAAGCCTTAACTGGTCGGCTGGCGGCCCTTAATCGGTTCATTTCGAAATCTACGGACCATTGTAAATCATTCTTTGACGCTATCAAGAAGACGAAGCCGTTTGAATGGACCACGGAATGTCAAAATGCTTTTGACAACATTAAACAGGTTCTTTTGCAGTTACCAACCTTACAAAAGCCACTTCCCGACGAGCCACTCTATTTGTATCTCGGTGTAAGTGATGTTGCCGTCAGTGCTGTCCTTATACGTCAAGACGGACTTCAACAGTTTCCAGTGTATTATGTTAGCAAGGCCCTGCATGACGCAGAGTTACGATACCCGCATATGGAGAAACTCGCCTACGCTCTGATCATTGCTGCACGGAAATTGCGTCCATATTTTTTGGAGCATTCAATTGTTGTGTTCACGGCATATCCCCTCCGACAAATCCTTCATCGGCCTGACACGTCGGGAAGAATGATCAAATGGGCTATTGAGTTGGGACAGTTCGATATACAATACCGGCCACGAACCGCTATCAAGGCCCAAGTATTGTCTGATTTCATCGCTGAATTTACCCCCGCTATTGATTCATCCGTCAAGGATCCGACGTGGACTCTCTACATTGACGGGTCATCCACTGCTATACGAGCCGGGGGAGGGATCGTCTTGGTTAGTCCCGACCAGCAAGTATTTTGTTACTCTGTGGCATTCACTTTTCCAGCCACCAATAACGAAGCCGAGTACGAGGCCCTTTTATCAGGATTGCATTTCGCCGAGTCCATGAATGTTTCTTCTCTTCAGATATTTTCCGATTCCCAGTTACTAGTCAGTCATATCAACGGCACTTACGAAGTAAAGGAACCACGGCTGATTCCCTATTTTGATCTTGTTAAAAAGAAGCTGACACGATTCAAAGTGACGCTGGAACACATACCTCGGTCATCTAACATCCAGGCAGACGCTCTTTCACGACTGGCTTCATCAACCGACTTGGATAACGTTGAATTTGTACAAATCACCCAACAGGCGACCTCATCTACAGTCTCTACCGACGTCGCTATGGTTGACGCCACCTCAGTAACTCCGAATCCCACATGGATGGATCCCATCATCGATTATCTCCGGACCGGGGCCTTACCTGAAGACTTGAAAGAAGCTCGTGCTCTCCGTGTTCGTGCTGCTCATTATACCATCGATGACGGGACGTTATATAAACGCGGGTATTCAACCCCATTGCTTAAATGTTTGTCAGAGGGAGATGCCCAGCGAATCTTGCAAGAAGTACATGAAGGAGTCTGCGGCACCCACCAAGGAGCTCGAACTTTGTCACATAAAATTCTCCGACAAGGCTACTATTGGCCTACCCTTCGGAAAGATGCTGCAGATTGGGTACGACGATGTCGCAAATGCCAGATATTTGCTCCCAACGTCAATCAACATCCTGAACTCCTCACATCAA